CTTCCATCAACAAGGAGTTGGCGGACCCCCCTGCCGACCCGCCCTGACGTGCATTCGTGGGGTCCTTCCAGTCCAGCCCCCCCAGACGAACCCAAATCCTCGTTTCCCGATCTCGATCCTTGAGCCTCGAGCTTCCATGCGAAATCGGCCCGTGGACCTGTCGATGGGGCGCGCTCTGGCCAGACTCTAGTCGCTCTCCAGCCGTGGCGGCGAGGGCGTCCCGGGGCGCGAAAGGGGGGGCGAAAGATTTGGACAAGTCGCGACGACGACGACAACCCGGGATAGTTTTTCGTCCTGGATCCGTTTTTGACGGTCCCAGGCCCCGAAAGCGGCTCCCAGAGGCCTAAAACGAGCAAGAATCCTTGAAGGTCGGGGATCGACGACATACTACGACGACGACGACGACGACGACGACGACGACGGCGGCGGCGGCGGCGGCGGCAGCAACGACGTCTTCGGCGGCGGCGGCGGCGCGTTTTTGCTCGACGTTTCCGGGAAGATTTCGGGCCCTAGGGGGCCGCCGTCGGGCCCCAAGGCCGCCAGAAACGGGCAAACCAGAAGGACCTCCGACTCGCCGCGGTGGGGGCAACGCAACGCGATATTGCCTGCCCGGGCGGGGCAGATTCCTCCTCCACACGCTCCTTCTCGTGTTCCTCCTCTCCCTCATCGTCTTGGCATCCCTGCCCCATCCTGCTCTCTCCGAGCGCGGGCGGCAGAACGAGGGGGAAAAAGGCAATCGATGGGGGGGCTTGGCAAACTTGAGATGACGGGTGCGTTTTCCGTAGCCTGGCACGTAGATCGCTGACGCGGCGGCCGATGGGCGAGGAGGAATGGAGGAGAGGAAGACGAACAGGGCGGCCGAATCCGCCACCGCGCTCTGAGGCGCAAGTTGGAATGCCCCCAGGTCTCCTGCCTAATACCCCCGAACCGACAGCTCGAGCCTTCCGCCCCAAGATGCCACCGGGAGGCTCCAGGAAGCGCCCGAGCCACCCTGGAAGCCCCGGGACGACCCTAAGAGACATTGAACTGCCTCCAAAAGGTTTTCGAGAGGTCTCCCGCGACATCTCGACGAACATCCAAGAAGCTCATGACCACGAACCCAGGCACGGTGGTGGAATGGGCCGAAGGCAATACAAGAGTTAGCGGCTGGCCCAACCACGGGAGGTAGGGCAGTGTCGCCCTCGCCCCTGCAAAAAATTAACATGGCATTGCGCCAACCTGCATGCAGCTCACTGCGAACTCTGGCGAGCGGCGTCCGCCAACTCTTGCTCCAGCCGCAGAGCTGTCTCGGGCTCGAGCATGAGACGGGCGCGTTCGCTCTGCTGGAAATACATGACGTCATCGTCGACCCACGCGGGCAACGCCGAACTGTGGAAGTGCATGTACAAAAACCGCAGGAATGACAAGTCTGCAAAAAACTTGAAAACTTTCTCTCCTGCAGTCTTAGTCTCGGATGGCCAGTACGAAGCAGTGATGGCCCAAGACTGTTCGACTGGGACGGTGCCGGATCGAGGGCCCACGCCGGCGGCCCGCAAGCCTTCGGCGCACTCTTGCCACGCAAGCAAGCCGCTCAAGCGTCGCGACTTGAGAAGGCGGCTGTAATGCCGCCGCAGCTTCGAATTGAAGACGCATCTGCGGCCGCGCGCTTCCTGGGCGCAGGCTGGGCAGACCCTCAGGATGCCGCGGCGGCGGCGCGCCAGGCGCTTGGGACTACTGTACCAACGTCGCATTCGTTTAATTTCCCGCTTAAATGCCTTGCGGCTCCTGTAGTTATCCGCCGCCGCGCCCCAGGGCGCGACGTGGCGCGCGGTCAATCGCTCTAACGAGACGCCCAGCATCTCCAGGAAAGCTGCCAAGAGGTCCCCGAGAAGGCCCCCGAAACATTCCCCAAATGCTCTAGGGCCCCGCCCGCGACCCGAGAGTGGCGGCGGGGCGGGCCGAAGGCCGCGAGATGCCACCCGTGCGCGGCGTCGAGCTGGGCCCCTGCTCGACGCGCAACCCGCGCGAGCACGGGGCGCGGCGGCTGCGCGCCGAACGCGCTCTTCCAGACGCCTTTCGCGCGGAGAACCCCTGGCGACGAGAGGAACGCGCGCAAATCGCGCGCGCCGTCTGGATCCTGCGCGAGCGCTTCCTGGAAGGACGCGGCAGACTGAGCCACAGCAGTCCGCAGGAGGTCGCGCCCGCGCTCTCCAAGCGCCGGCACGGGAGGCGCGCCTTGCGGTTCCTCGGGTGGGCCGCGGGGCGCGTTCAGCCGGCCGATCAGGTCAGCGTGGTCGTGGCAGAAGTCCGCCGGAGCCGTCGCTCTCCGCGCCCGTCAAGGCGCGCGGCCGCGCTCCTCGTCACGTCATGCCCCGTCGCCCCTGCGGGGAAAACCGAACAAATTAACCGGTGCTGGCTGGGCTCTGGCGCCCGGCAGTTCGATGGGCCAGCTGAGATCTAGGCGCGGCGGATGCGGCGAAGCCGACTGGATCCGAGCTGTCGTTCCACGCACCTCCTCGCGTTGAGGACGTCGTGGAACGGCTCGCCTGCCACGAGCACGCCGACGGAAGGCGCGACTATGCAGCACGCGGCGAGTGGGCCGCGCGGAGTGGCGCCAGCCGTCCGCACCCGGGCAAGCTGGCACGCCTCATTCACCACGTCGGCGTACTTCTTGAAGTGCTTGTTGTAGGAGTCGGTGCTGACGAACGCAGGGCACGCGTCCTCCAAGGACATGCCGGCGGCCTGGCGAGCAGAGACGATGTCCGCGAGCAGAGGCTGCAGCACGCGCTTGATGTCCATCCAGGCCTCCCCGCGGACGGGGGCGACAGGCAGCAGGGGCGATCCGTCCGTCCCGCAGATGCCGAGCACGCAACTGAAGGGCTTCTGGCGGGACTTGCCGGCACCTCTCCAAATCTTCTTCGCCAGCTTGAAGTTGCCGTCCACGCGCAGCCCGGAACCGTTGTAGAGACTCTGCAGGCGCCGCATCTCAGACACTCTCCGCGAAATCGGGGCGGAGAAGGCGCGCGGGGCGATCATGCCCAACATCTTGCGCTTGGGGAGGGCGAAAGCGATGTTGAAGAGGACTGCCCGCGCGCCGGCGTCGCTCAAGCCCGCCTCCGCGCCGCGCGCGACGGCGACGTACTCCCCGAGCAGCTGCCGACGGCGCTCGCGGAAGTTCAGCGTGTCATTCAGGCAGAAGAGGAATCTCGCCAGGAACCTCCCAGTCACGTAACAGCGGCCCTCCTTCTGCCCGCCCTCCGCCGCGTTGCCGCGGATGACGATCGCGTCAGGGGCGACGCGCACCACGTCCTCGTCGGCGACTGGGAAGTAACAGCGATGCCCGACGTCGTCGCCGCGCCCGCCGTACGACGCCTGCGGGCAATGCCCATGTTCGTGGACAGCCCATGCACGTGAAGCATACCCACCTCTGACGGTCCAGCTGCACTGGCCACGGGAAGTCCCAAACGTAGCTCCCGCGCCTGCATTCCCCGCTCGGCTGCAGCGCGGCCCCCCCTGCTGACGCGCGACCCAGTGCCGGAATTGCCGGGCGTGATCGTCGGCGGCCTTCGGGATCACGAGGACTGGCGCCGCGGGCCGCTGGCACGCGGGCGCCGCGACGTTCATGCCGGCGAGGGCGTGGCGGAAAGACTGCAACATCTGCGCGTCTTCCACGAGAGCGCGCGGAGCCACCGATGCTGCGCGCCCGCCATCCGACACGCCCTCGGGCACGCGCGCCATCCATGGAACACCGCGGACGATCGACCGGCAGCGCCACCGATGCTGCACGTCCGTGAGATCAGAACCGGCACGCGTGGTCAAACCACGCCGCAAACTCGTCCTGAGCACGTGCGCGCCGCCAGCGGCGCCCGCCCCAGAGCCTTGGACTACGGGGGCCACGTCGCACCGAAGGCGGCCGCGGCACACGAAGGCGTCGAGGACGACCACCTCCTCGCCTCGAAGTTTGCCAGCGAGCCCTGCCCGCGGGGCCAGCGTCTCAGCCGGGCCGCCGTCGCCGCTAACAAGTCCACACTGGAGCAGTCGGGCCAGCGTGCCCCGCGTGCGCCCCGCGCGAAAGCGCAACGCCAGGCGCGCCCGCTTGTCTGCCCGTGCGCCAACGCCTGAGCGGGCGGAGTCCCGCTGGGCCAGCGCAGCGTCCAGCGCCGCTGCGTCGCGCGGACCGAGCTCTGGCAGGGCCGCCCGAGGCGCCCACGCCTTGCGCGGGTGCGCCGGTGCTCTCGGCCCCCCTTCGGCCGAGCGGCTTGGCTCGCGGGCGGGCCCACCTCGGGCGGCGGCAGCGGCCGCGCCTGGGCAGGCTCTGCGCCGCGCACCCCGCGCAAATCCTTCCAGGTGGGCCTTTTTCTGGGCCACGGCGGCGGGCCCCCGGTCGGGCCTCTCTTCGGCGGCATAGACGCTCTGGTGGCCGAAGACGCGATCAGCGAAAGCCCGGGCCTCTGGCTTGAGCCCAAATGGTTGCAGCGATGATGACGACGATGGCGATGCATGAGATCACCTAACCGCGGCCAGGGGGGGCGCAACGCGATATCGCCCGCCCGCGCCTGCGCCGCCAACCGCGGAGATGATCCAAGATAGCCTAAGAGGGCCCCCGAAATAGCACGGACAGCCCATGGTGGCCCCCGAGACGGCGCAAGGCGGCGTAGACGCTCCCTTGGAGCGAGCCCACTGGGGGCTATAAAAGCTCTCTTGGGCCGCTGTGGGGCCCGGGCCGCCCCGGGGCCGCGACGGAGCCCCCGTCGGGGACCTATCGGGCCATGGTCGAGCGAAGGGGCCCCGCAGACGCAGCAGAAACGCGCGGGCGCGTGGATCGCCTTTGCCGCGGCCGAGGAAACGAGGGGTGGCCGAATACTTGGCGGCTGGCGCAATCGCCGCGCGCAGGCTGGCAGCGCTGTCGCCACGACAGCGAATTGAAGCAGCGGTGTTGCGCCGACCTGCGCGCGCCTCGGCAGCGGGGCTGCTGGGGCGCCTTCGAGGATGCATGCGCCGCTTCAGGGATCGGGGAAAACCTCTACCGAGACGCCGAGGCTGCGGCGAAAGGCCGCTTGCTTCTCGGACTGCTTGAGATAGCCCACCTTCACGAAGCCCTGGTCCGCGCCGGGCGCCTCTTCGAGCACCCCGCCCGCAACCAGGGCCGCCACAGCCACCTTGATGCGCGGCATCAGCGGGCCCACGCCCGGCTGGCCCGTCGCGCCCCTGAACGCTGGCCCGCGCTTGCCGCGGACTGCCAAGCGGAAAGCCGTGTACGTGATCCGCCCGTCTCGAGGCGTGTGCTGCAAGAGGGCGGCCTGCAAAGTCTGCTCCAAAGACAACTGCAAGCGCCCCGCCAGCGGAGCAGGCGCCATCCCGCCCACGGACGGGTCCTTTGCCAACATGGAGATGTAGGCGCCGTGGTGAAGCTGCCACTGCCGGTGCACGCGCTGCAGCGCCGCGGCCAGTTCGAGGAAGGAGATCTGGCTACGCAGCGGCGCCTGCTCGCCCGCGCAGTGCTGGAAGATGCGCATGGTGCTCAGAGAGGAGCGGAGCAGGTCAGAACGGAAAAACAAAAGCTTTGCCTTCCACCACTTGTTGATGCGGTTCTCCTCCATCGCTCGCAGCAGTATCTATGGCGTCGTAAAGGCTGCTAGCGAAGTCGTCCGGAACAATGCTGTGCTGATGCGGGAGGCAGTTGATAACGCACCATTCGTAGAAGTCCTTGAGGAAGTCCTGGCACTCAGTGTCGGCGAAGCCGTTCGCCCTCGGGACGAAATCCCCCGGGGCGCCGACGCGGCCGCCGAGCCGCGCGCCCGGGGGCCCCCGCTGCTGAGGGGCGGAAGACGGGGGCCCCCGCGCGCTCTGCACAGCGGCTGCTTCCGCGCCACCCTGCAAGACGCGACTCCTGAGGCGCCGCCGCGATGGACAAGCGCTTGTGCCACCCCTGCGCCCCGGGGCGCATGGTCGAGTCCGCTGTCTCGGGCTGCGTGATGATGCGGCAGCCGAAATTGTACGTGCCCTTCACGAGCGCCATCGGCCCATGCCCCGTCGGGGACGAGATGGACTCGGCCTGCGTCCACTGGCACAGGCGCTGCTTGAAGAAGAAGTGAATCCTGGCCTCCTTACTCGAGTAGCCCTCCACGTAGATCGTATTGGCGCCCTCCGAACTGCTGAGCAGCCCGCGCCTGTACTGCTCTAGGGTGGACTCGGTGCCTTTCTTGGTCCCGTCCGTCATGAGCACTTTGCGGTCCGCCCACTCCAGTGGCGCGCTCTCGGCGTCGAGGATAAGGCTGTCCGCCAACTCGAGCTGGGGGCTCTTGCGCATGGAGGCACTCTGCGACACGAGACACGCCTGCGACGGCGAGACACGGTGGGTGCAGCCCAAATCGTGGGTCAGGTACGTCTCGCTGTGCTCGCAAAAGCCGATGTTGGACTCGAGGAGGAGCGCGAAGCCCTCGTGGTGGTAGCCCTGAGCGTCGCAGATGCGCTTCACCACGTCGTACCACACTAGCGGGTGCCCAGGCCGCTGGTCAAAGTCGAGGTCAGCTGCAAGTTCGTGGGGTTCCCTAGTGTCATTGGCGATGGACTCCAGGCACTTCTTGATGGTCGCCACCGCGGTCTCCGCGTTCTCGAAGCCAGCGGAGGTCTCTTTGCTGAACAGGACGTCGTTGAGCGCACCCGCGCCCGCGGCGGCCCTAATCCTCTCGTTCCACTGCTGCACCAGCTCCGGGGCATCCTTCATAATCTTCCGTCGTTTCGCCGCGGCGCTCCTCCACTGAAGCCCGCGGAGGGGGTCGAGCATGACCGGGCCGTCGCCGGCTTGGCTGCCAGCCAGCTCGCCGTCGCCGGCTTGGCTGCCAGCCAGCTCGCCGCCCTGACTGGCAGCGGGCACGATGTCCATGGGGGCGCCCGCGGCGGGCACGATGTCCCGGGGAACCGCTGCGGCGTCGGCGGGCGCCGCCTCCGCAGGCACGATGTCCTGGGGAACCGCGGCGGCGGCGGGCGCCGCCTCCGCTGCTGGAAGCGCGCTGCCGTTCTGGCCATCCGTCGCAGCCCCCGCAGCGTCGCCGGAGGAACTGCCGGCGCCGCAGATGCCGGATGCCCTGGCCTGCGCTCGGCGACGAAGCACCCGCGTCCCCCCCTGGGCGTCCGGGATCGCAAAGACGCCGTGGCCCCCTGCCACTGGCGCCTTCTCTGCTGCGTCTGCTGTCATCTTGCATTTTGGGCATCGCTGCAGCCGTTTAGAAACGCCCCTTGCCTCCATGTCTCGCGCCAAGCACTCTGCATGGAAAACGTGCCCGCACATCAACGCCTCGCAAGGCGCCTCGTCAAAGTCTGACCAGCAGATCGCGCACATAGTGTCCCGGTCCTCCGCGTTCCCCGCCATCCCCGACTTGCCGCGCTAACGGCTCGTGGCGCCCTGTGCGCAACCCGCGCCCGGACGTGAGGCTTGGGCCCAAGCGGATACAATGATGATGATGCTAGCCTTGAGCACAGCCCCGACATCGTGCGAGCTCCAGCCAGGATGGAACAAGATAACCCAAGATGAATCGAAGGCCTCATAGGGCCTCCACAATGGCACAAGTAGCCCAAGCTGATTCAAAGGCCTCAGATGGCAAGATAGCCACATAGGACCTCCGATCAGGCACGAATAACCCAAACCGGTCTCCAAAACTGCGCAAAGCGACCGAAAAGTCGTTCTCTTCCTCCTCATCCGCCTCCTCCTCCGCCGCTGCGGCGGGGGAAACACGACAAACAATCGCCCGGGGCAACGCAATGGTGACGCCGACGACGCCAAAGACGACGACGCCCAAGATGGCACAACATAGCCCGAGAAGGCACGGGCTGGTGGGGGCGGGATGGCGGGGATACGCGAAGCGTGAAGAATTGTTTGGCGCAGCGGAGAACTGGGGGATTTGGGACGCAGGAAGGCAGACAACAGCAAGTACTAGTCCACGACACGTTGCTTTCATCCAATTACCGCGGGCAGTGCAAGCGCGAGGTCGCTGACGCTGCTCCACAAAACACAAAAGCGAGAGGACACTAGTCCACGATCCAAGTCCCCCCGACAACGGAGCCTAAACTTACAAGCGTGAAGTCTCTGACCCTACTCCATGAAGCTCAAACGTGCGCTGCTAAAAAAAATGGTGAAACCGAGAACGTGCGAAACCGAATACAATTGAAACTTAATGCTGCGTGAATCCAGAGGATGTGTAAGTTCCCGCTGCCCCTCCTCCTCATGATCCTCCTGCCGTCAGTAACGCTCCAATCGCAAAGAGAAAGCAAGAACGTAAATTTACAATTTTGCTTCCCATTTTGCTTCCCTTCTCCCTCCGCCTTCCCCCTGTTAACGAGACGAAAGTGAAAGTCCCGCCCGCCCTCCTCATGAGCCTCCTGCCGTCCGTAACGCTCCAATCGCAGCGACAGCAAAAACGTCAATTTACAGTCTTGCTTCCCTTCTCCCTCCGCCCCCCTCCTGCACCCTCTTTCCGACGCCTGGGCCCGGCACGCGTGACAATCGCCTTTAACACCCATCCATCCCTGCCCCCTCCCTTGTCCATGTCAGGAGGGCGGAGAGGTTTAGCGTGGCAGGAAGGTCAGGAGGATTGAGGGGGTAAGAGGGCTGAGAGGGCAAGAAGGTCTCAGGGCTGACGAGAAAAGAGCGCCACGAGGGTAATAAAGCACAATGAAAATGCGATGGCGAGGGCCGGATAGTAAGAAGGTAAGAGAGTGAGATTGCGAAGACGGTGAGTGCTGTCCAGGGGGAAGGGGGGCAAGAGGGTAGGGTGGTGAAGCGGGTCAATGCTATTCGGGGGGTGCGAGTGTAAAAGGATTGTCTTGGTGACGTCTTGAGGCCGAGCCCGGGGTGTAAGAAGGTAAGAGAGTAAGACTGCGAAGACGGTGAATGCTGTGCAGGGGGAAGGGGGGCAAGAGGGTAGGATGGTGAAGCGGGCTAATGCTATTCAGGGGGGTGCGACGGTAAGAGGATCGTCTTGGTGACGTCTTGAGGCCGAGCCCGGGGTGGAAGAAGGTAAGAGAGTAAGACTGCGATGACGGTGAATGCTGTCCAGGGGGCCACGGGGCAAGAGGGTAGGGTGGTGAAGCGGGTCAATGCTATTCAGGGGGGTGCGAGGGCAAGAAGATCGTCTTGGTGACGTCTTGAGGCCGAGCCCGGGATGTAAGAAGGTAACAGAGTAAGACTGCGAAGACGGTCAATGCTGTCCAGGGGGCAGGGGCAAGAGGGTAGGATGGTGAAGCGGGTCAATGCTATTCAAGGGGGTGCGAGGGTAAGAGGACCGTCTTGGTGACGTCTTGAAGCCGTCTGGGAAACAGACTGAGAAACTTCTCGGTGCGTATGTCACCTGCTGACAGCATCGTTTCGAATGCTGCGTCGGGCAAAAAGCCCGGCCGGCGGCCTCCAGAGACCGAAACTGGCCGCGAATCATCCGTCGTGGGAAGTTTGGGATAAGAGGGCCAACAATGGCAAGATCGTTCGATGGATCGTGGATGTAAGAAGAAGACAGCATGAGGTATGAAGGTGAATAAGATAATGAACCAAAACAAAACACGACAGGGTTACTAGCAGGTTTAATAGGGTAAGATGGTCCAGACAGCACGTGGGCAAGATAATGAAGAGGGTATGTGCGCAAAAAAATAAAGGGCAAGAGGGCCAATAGTGTTAGGAAGGTAGGGGCGTGAAGATAGGGTGGGGTGGGATAGTGAATGGGGGGTATGATGGGGAACGGGTAATACGTTCAAACGGCAAAAATATTGAGAAGGCAAGGGGTGCAAGACGAAATGCACATCAGGGCTCGCAGGGCTGAGAATGCGAATGGGTCGGGGGGCAGAAAAGTTAGCGAAATAAGCGGGCTGGACGGGGAAAGGGTTAAGGGGGCAACATGGGGAAGGGGCGGCACTGCACTGTGGTACAAGGGAGCAACGAAGTCCCAACCTCAAGTGCGTCCCCCTCGGGCCGGCCGCCCTCGCTTCTTACGGGCGGGCGCGCCTCCGACAGGCGGTTTTCTCCTCCTCCTTCCCCTCCTCCCCCGCCTCCTCCATCATCCTCCTCCTTCGCCTGTTCTTCTGCCCGCTCTGCATAAGCCATGGGAACGCCCATCGGGTCAGCGCCGGGGCTGCTCGATGAACTACTAGTAAGCAATCAGCGCCAGGGCCGTTGCATACTAGCTCCCATAACACGCCGCGGACACTGGATTTGTTTTTGAAGGCCACGGAACCCGAGAGCAAAAAAAACAACGAAATGATGCACGTCGGCGACGAATCCCACAGGCGGTTTCCTCCTCCTCCTCCTCCTCCTCGTTCTGGTCCTCGTGATCCCC